AACTTGCGAAAAGTGGAAATCGGAAGTGGTTACAACAATAAGGGGAACCTTTTCCTTTTCGGCACTAAGCCGGGAATATTTAATGGAATTTTGCCTGGATGATGGATTATTGTCATCATCCAGAAGCATATCAAATTGATTGCTCAATTGAATTTAATCAGAAGAGGGATTAAGCGATTGTCCTTTTCTTTTGCGCTTAGTCGCCATGGCGGCAGAAGAAAGTTTCTCCAAATCGACTTCCAAGCAGGTTACTATAAGAATCCGAAGGATTGAAGAGGAATTTTCCAAGTCGATGGCCAAGCAGGATTACCTCGGGTAGGGTCCAAACAAGGATCGAAGAGGAATAAGAGTCAAACAAGGTAGACATTTTACAGGTTAAGCACTGAAACGTACTGTTTAAATTTGTTGTAGCTTTCGGTATATCTTTTTTTATATCTTGTGAAAATTGATGATCATTATTGGAAAAATAATAGATGAAGTCATTTTTAGAAACTTTGTCGAAGACGTCAATTTTCAAAATCTCAAGGGGGGAAGTAGCTCATCGATTCTTCCGGTTCGCCTCCTAGCATCGTGCTATAAGGTACCAGGCGATAACCAGGGTAGTTGATCGATAGCTCGATGACGTCATTTCGTTGGCGTCTGCAATGGAAAATTCTCATAGCTGGCGTTGACGATGGGACGTTGACGAGTTGTTGAATAGCAACTATCGTAGTAACTCACCGATTACCTGTCGATCTTCCAAATTTGGAAAGACGTCTGCATTGAATTGTCTCATATAATAATATTCCGTCCACTATATCGCAAGAAATTGCGAGTAGCTGAGTGGAATGGAGATAAGTTAAGCATTGGGTACAGGACCAAGTCTCCCCTGGGTGGTGCCAGAAGATGAGCGCAATAGAATGAGACTCCTCAATTGCATGGCTGGGTAGTCAAAGTCTTCCATTCGTTAGTCATTTCAGGTGGGTCTCGCTGGATACGCCCAAGACTGGACGGGCGGTAGCTGGTTGCCGTGAACGGTTCCTGGGGAAAGCACTAGATGCGACCCTCCTCCCAGATGACCATGGCAATACAGGAAGTATTACAACAAAGGTAATTGCTATCAGATATTTTGCAAACAGTGACAGATAGTGGTCATGAAGAACCAGTCTAAGTGCCGGGCAAAGGTTTTTTATCCTAGACAAATGGTAAGTTACAAACTCCATGTTTTCGTTGTCGTAGGCGCCGTCGTAGTCGCTGTCGTAATCGCCGTCGTAGTCGTAGGTAGTACCGTTAGTATATTTAAAATTAACCACCAACCGCTGAAAATATGAATTATCGCGTATTTCTGTTGTTCATTATATGCCAAGTGAAATTCGAGAACGTAAATTTCACGAGAACGTAATTTTCATTTGAATAGCTTGTTTAACCAGGTCTTAAACTATCGTCACGTCGGTCATAGCTTGTTATGATTGCCTGAACCATGCGTAAAGAGAAAATCGAAACATTGAACGTCGCGTGAAAGTGGATAATAATGAAGTACTCTTTCGTAGATTTTAGTTTTAGGATTTCAAAGATCGTCGGTTGCAGTGGCTTGCTTACTGAGCAGAAAAACACGGTCCCAGGTCCTTTCATATTAAAAATGTATGGTAAGATCGAACTTTTCGGTGTCGTCGGTGCCGGGTTTGCATAGTTATACAAACTTGAGTAACGCTATAATGTGATATGAGGGGCTCGGTGGCCTTAGAGCAACCGGTTTTGCTTACTGAGCGGAACATCATGAGTCTAATCTCAAGCCCATCCACATTCAAGATTGTTCAATCGTTTTATTTGTTAACATGACTACATGGTAATAACAGCACCTCGATGATTAAATAGGAGCTCGTCAGCCTAGTGGCAAACGTTTTTGCTTACTGAGCAGAAGACCGTGGGTTCAATCCCAAGCTCCTTTGCGTTATATGATGGTTAGGACATCAATTTAGCTTATCGTTTACCAAAACGAACCCTGCTGCTAACCCAACCCTATTACCCAATATCCCAGTGATTCTCGTGGAAGTGCAGAGGTGTTCTCGGCTTTCATCAAAGCGAGTGTCACGTCAACACATTCCTACTCCTTCCTTTCTTGACCTGTGTTCGGGCGCGGCCGGCGCTGGTATTGCCTAGTTTGAGATCACCAGTTTTTACACATTGAGGATGATTGCTAGTCCCAAGCAGCGTCTATTGGTTCTCTGTGTAATTACAGCTGGTGTGGCAATAACAGAGTAGCAACCGTGGGCGGTCAATCATGCTCATGCTCATGCTCGTCAATTTTCAAAATCTCAAGTGGACGAAGCTTTAGGATGGAAATGAAGTACAAACGGTAGTACCCCCTTAAAAAATAACTTTTTAGTTTGAATTTTACAATTTTTTAAATGTTCTACAAAGTTGTAAGTGCTTTAAAATTGCACATTTTTGCTGCACAAATCGCTATCTCTTTGTTTTAAGGATTAAAGTCTCTTTTTATCATTTTTTAACGCTATCTGTAAGGGGTGTATCTTGCAGGTTAGCATGTTCAGCATATGTGTGGTTGTCTCCGCGTTGCAGGAAATAGTCTAAATAAAAAGGCAGGTATTTATTTATTTGGTTCTTATTTAGTAAATTTGCTAGTCTTTGCTTGTAATGTGTCGTACAATTGTTATGTCCTCCTTCGTCAGTAGATGTGTGCCGGTACATATTCAGCCACTTTGGATTTGAAATGGTAATGGATACCTTTTTCCGTGTCCTTAGTAGCTTTTGTCACTTCCGCTAAATGTTCTTGTGTCTAAAGTACTTTTTGTCTGTCCTATGTATATTTTGTCACACATTCCTGCTTTTCCTAAATCGAATACAATAGTCTGTTCGTAATAGTCTGGTTAAGTTATAGTCGTAATCTACAGATACTTGTCGTAGGCTTTCTGTTATTGATGTTAATGTAGTCAATGATCTTTTGTATTCGTTGTTTCTGTGTTTTTCAATTATAGCCTGGATGGTTTTTCTTGGGTATCCGTTTACTCTAGCTGTCTCAAATATATAATCTAACTCTTTTTTTTCTTTCCTGTTACACCAAGTGGCAAAGTATCTAGTAAACGAATCATTAGGTGAAAAACAGCCACTTTATGTTCATGAGAAGTGTTGGTTGGAAGTGTTTGGTATAACTCGTTTCGTATTTTTCTGTAGATTTCAAATGCCAGTGAAGTAGATTCTTTAATAATTAGTACATCCAAGAACGGTAGCACCCTATCCCTTACTTTCCAGGACAAGTAAAAATCTGGACGTTAACCGAATCCTGTTGACCGAAATCTGGACCGAAAAATCGTGCAAGCTTTCACTCGCAAGAAAAGTGCTTCGGATCGAGACGTGGCTAAAAAAGTGGGATCCTCGAAGAGTAACGTCCAGCGGGCCAAGGTAATAATGGGTCTAAAGGCGTATAAGAAGCACTACACCGTTCGTGATGGCCGAAGTGTTGACGACGCGGATAAGTCGAAAAAAAAAATGTAAAAAAATTATGATGTCAAGCAATTTTTTTTTTTCTTTATTTTTGTGATTTTTAGCCGTAGGCTAGTTCATCACATAAAGTGTCAAGCCATTTGTAAGTGTGGTATGCTTTCCAAACCGTTTGTAACAACGGAGACAATAACAACCGATGTTTACGTGCGTGAGTGTTTAAACAAACATGGCGCCTCTGTACTGTTTTGGCGTCGGTTCATTACTCCAAGGACACGATAGCCTGGTATAAAGCCAACAAAGTCCAATTCGTACCCAAGGAGATGAATCCGCCAAACTGTCCTAAAACCAGGCCAATCGAAACTTTTTGGGCCCTGACCAAAGCATATTTGCGGAAGCATATAAAGGCAGCGGATTAAATTACAAAATTTGTGAAAGACTGAAAAAAAAGTATTCAAAATTGTTGCAAAGGCATCTGTGCAGAAGCTAATGAGTAGCGTGAGATCTAAAATTCGCTCCTTGGCTTACGACTGCTCGGATCTCGAATTTTCTACGTTTAACTGTAAGAGAATACTATATAGAATATGAATACGAAATAAAAATTCAATTTTCTGTACGTTATCGTTTTTTAAAATCATGCTTAGACATTCTGGGACACCCTATATTTACACCAATTGTTCTCAAAAGCAAAAGAAGTGCTCCAAGCGAATCCATTTTTTCTGCCTTCTTCCCTAGGACGAAGAAAATCCAATGGTGATTCAATGCGTTTGTACGGAACTGAAACTCGTAGGACAAATTTGGAATCCAAAAGCACTGTTTAATTTTAACAGTATCTCAACAATTTGTGACTCTTTATCAAATTCTTTACGTACTGGAAAGGTAAATCAATTTAGATGTAATCTTAAGCAGAATTATTCCATTTTTTCTATCACATTCGTTCGAAAAATAATGGTAAAGCGCAGTTTCCCGAATAATAAAAAATAACATACCCAAACGATAACCCAAATGATAGAAAAATTCCACAAATGGTATGGATCATACCCTGAACACGTCGTTTAGCAGCATAACCATACAAATGTTATTAGAGTTGCGCTTAGTAGGGCGGAAATGAGATCAAACACTCTAGGATGGATTTGAAATTATGAAACAGGGTTATTTTAAAGAAAATATATACAATTGGTAGCTCTTTATCAAATCCAACTGTATAACCGACAAGGCCAATAAGTTTAGTAGTCATTTTTAGTAGAAACATTTAATTTTTCTATCAAATTCGTTTGAAAGTGCGAGTTGTGCTTAGTATGCCGGATCTTGGTTTTAAAACATGTCAAAAATATTTTATGAATTTTGCGACGTGGCTTCGATGAGTCTTGTTAGTTAAATATCAAATGAAATTATTCAATCCAGACTAAATATTAAATGATTTTGAATTAGCTTAAAATTTTATATGGGTACGGAAACCGGCCACGAATCAATTTGTCTAAGTTTTATTTATTAAAAATCAGCCATAAGAGGTGAAGGATAATTTTACATAATAAAATTGTAATTTATAGATTATCTCTTACCTTCGCTAGATGTCAAATGACTTCCGAAGTCTCCGTTAGTCATTTTGGTACAATTGTTTACGATATGAATTATTGAATGGTTTAAATGGTGAATGTCTGCAAGAAATCATAAAATATATCATAAAAACGGGCAGTTGTAAAGTTGAAGTTTGTTAAATATATCTTTTGTTTTTGCCTCAGTCAAGTTGTTAAAGGTTTTTGGGCAAATACTCAAGTCTAAAAACAGTTTTATTTTTGCGCACCGAAATAAAAAATCATTGAAAATTGAAATTCTGGACAAGTCGACACCGTCATAATATCATCATGCCTATACCCCGAATAAAAGTGATTTATATAATGTTATCCTCATAAGGCCAGAAAGCTTACTTGAAGCCAGATTATTAGCAGCAATACTATCGTGTTCATAGCTCATGCAACCGGTGACCAAGAGTCGTTCAAAAGTTTCATAAAATAAAATTATCGTTCATAAAAAAACGAATGCCTGCGTATGGAACCACGTCGATAAAAAAAAAGAAATGTACACGGCTGATACACGTAGCGCGTATGTCTGTCGCCACCGCCGGCAAAAAGCTATTAGATTTAATTGTTTGTCCGCAACTGTCCGTTGAAGATGAAAGCAGCACGCAGTCATCTGTTTTTAAAGGCCCCATAAAAGATGATAGTCTCAGCTGATCTTAAATGTTTCGGATCCAAGTCGGAGATAGAGATGAGATCAATCAAGGCGTGTGTTAGTACGTGTTGAGAAAACATTTCTATAAAGATTTGTTTTATGAGATCTCTCTGCAGTAATTATTCGCATGTGAAGGCGCCACATCCAAACCGATTTATTTCGTTTCCTCTACGCCTGGAGATATGGCTTCTGTTTTGTAATAAAATTAATTTGATATCAGCTACCGGGGACGATGCGTTTTCATTAAATTGGTATTAATCATCTTCGAGGGCCTCCGCTCGCGGGTGTGATGGCTATGTCCGTTCTTTCGGAAAACCTGTTTCGTATATGTGCTTTAAAATGATATTCTTGACACTGACCAACAAAACAAAAAAGAACAAAACTTCGTCCGGACCACTGTGGAATGTCGGGGTTCGAGCACAACGACTTATTAAGCACTCGATTTATGGACGTTGTTTCGTGATAAAATGCGTGTTCTTCGTGAGGTTCATTTAAACCGTCGCGACCGGCGGTCGCCTTTCGGAAGTGCCTCGGGGAGATGTTAGATTTTAATGAATGAAACGGATCGATTGTTTTAAGGGGTTTTCATTTGAAGAGTTCGCATTTGATCTTAAATTCGAGACCCTCTTGGTCAATCTAGAATGATTCGCGTATGCACCGTTATACTGTCACTACATCTAATCTAGTAGACGTGCTATAACAGTGCATCCATTTCTCAACACACTTAATCGTCACAACGTTCGGTACATCAAGGCGGTAGAGACCAACTTTGAACAAAAGAAAATGGCATTCCCTTCTACGATTTTCTCAAGAATTGATACACGCCCAGAAGCCATTTCTCACTCCTTGTATTTAACTGACATACGTAAACATCACCACACGGCTTGTTATTACATTTTTCGAGCATGTTTCATTTCTGTACTCATTTGTCCGGTTCGTGTTGTTCTTGTGCAACCATCCGTTTCTTTGTTCCGAGTCGTAATTTTCCAGTCGTCTGCTTTACTTCAACTTTTTTATAATTATAAACGACATCAAATTAAGACCGGCGGCTGCATACAGAGAGATCCATTGTCATGTTCCTGTTTTTTTTTTAAACCATTTTGTTTGGACTCTTAGTTGTTTTTAATAATATTCCAATCAATTCGTGGAAGAGTTATTGCATTCATATTCGCCCTTGTGGTATTTTACTCTAATACGGCACCTTTTGGTGTGCTGATTTCACATGATTTCTCATGCTGATGAAACATATATCAGCAATACATTATTAGGTGATGTCCAACTACAATCTGTGGCAGTCATAATGGCTGTCTCCTCATGAGGCACATAACGAACGAAATTCTTTTGATCAGATTCAATTCTCCCACAGAGGTATAGTTTTGAGTTTGATGGGCTTAATCTGCATGAAGCTTGTGTTATTTTAGTAAAACGCTTCTTATTCGACTACCATTTTTCAAACAGTAATAATTTACATTACAATTAATCACATCAGCTGTAATTTTGCTCGTTTCTAGTCGAAACATATTTTTTTTCAATCGGGTTTGAATGTACTGAAATCCATTCACGATGAAATAAGTAATCAATTTAGTTTTCTTTTTCTTTTTAAGAAAATTGACTTATTTTGCAATTAAGCCATTTTAATTTTTCATTTTGTGGCTGTATGTTGAAAACGTTTTATACTTTACTAATCAGAATTATACTACTTCATGCGTGAAGTTTATGATTACGAAGTTGAGGGAGACACTGAATAAATGTTAATATCAAACTTAAGGCGAACATTTATATGATAGATAAGGCAATGTATAGAAATGATAGTTCCGGTAGAGTATGGCAGTGTACAAATTATATATAGAAGTTGAAATGAGCAAAGGGCAATTTTTGATGACGGTACGAATCGAACAAATCAAACGCACCGAGAAATGTTAATCAAATCGAGCAAAACAAAAGAGAAAATCTAAGAAGATAATCGATTATTACAGTTAGGCCCTTATGATTCTGCATGCTAGATATACAAAATTCACACTGCCGTACTCTAACGGAACTATAAATTCTATAATATCATCACCTTATCTATTATATAAATGTACACTAGGGTGCTTCATTTTGAAAAAAGAGATGAATTTCTGATAGGCCCACCATAACGATTCATAACCCCAAAATATGAACCTGTGCAAACATTGGTAAAGATTAATGAAGATTTAGTGGTCGCGCCAATGATTTGAAGTTTGTATGGGAATTACTTTGGAAGGATTTTAAAAATCACTTATATCGCTCTAACTTTGCTTCGACTATGTTGAAAAATTTAAATATGTTGTTGCTATGGAAATGACCAAAAAAGCCTATTGTTGTTTTGATCAGTTTAACAGCAGATTAAGAAATATATTATTTGGAAAAATTGTCAAAATAGGGTAAATTGACAGATTAATGTGTGCCAGACGACTTGTTGATCACTGTCATGACAACCAAACACCAAAATTGACTCCGTTGGCTCGGTACCACTCCAACACGTTTCGAGCGTAGTGGCAGACCAAAACAGAGTTGATCTTTTGTGCTTTATTATGAATGGCAAGAGGCGCTTCTTAAGGCACTCTTCCGTGTAAATCGAAACATTGATTGTTCCGGAAGTGATGAAGGGAGTGCACTATGAGAAATTTCCATACAAGCAGGCGGACAAAAATATTTTCTTAATTTTTGCTTCAATGTAAGATGTTGAATGGTTGTAATTATTAACTAAGTGACGAGGAACACATTTCGATGATTCACGAACAACTTTTGATAAGGGCTTAGTTTTTTATTGATCTTTAATGATAATATTTTCAAGTTTTTTTTTCACTAACATTTACTTACGGACAACTTTTGTAAATTTTACAAGATAGCTTCCATTTAAATGAATGTTTATATTTATTTTTCCTAGTTTATTTCATAGGTAACATAATGAGTGAGAAATAAGTACCGCCAAAGTTACGAGTTAAAATATCACCCCGGACAAGTCACGAATGACCTAAGAGTGTTAAAGTGACTAAAAAAATAACTGGGAGAAGAGGTATACATTTTATTTCAATCTTTTTTGTTATTGTTTTCTCGATATTGTACATTTTTTATTATCGGCACTGATATTATCACTTGAAAAATCTTCTTCAACTTAGCCGACAGCTTCCATAAATTCTTCCAACCATTGAAATTATCATCTCCAACAGTTGAGCAGTTTTCAGAATCTTCGAATATCATAAAACTTTTGACAATATCGGGATAGCTCAATGCTTTTTTTGTTTATCTTCTTTTCTCCATTCAAATGGTACTAATGAATGGATCTGATTCATTAATTGCCCGAATGACGACATCATGTAAATTTTCGACCCTGGATCGTTTTCTAGCATGGTGAGTTCGATATTTTTCAAACTGTTTATGAAAACTTTCTGCTGCTTCTTCTGCTAATATTCCAAGAAGTCTTGAATGATAGGTATTAATACTGGGTAGCAGATGCTTTATTCTACCTATGATACACAATAAAGCCCACAAATAACAGGTATAAATATAAATGATCATATAAGAACCATCACAATACATTCTTTATACGTCGTGTTGTTTTGCTTTTTATATCAACAATTAAATTAGGTCCGTTGTTCAACAACATATTTCAATATAACAAATCAGTTTCATCGTGAAAATTGAAAATAGGGTAAATGTTGGCTTCGGAACCTACGACTATTCTCGGCAACCCATTTTCAAACGGTAATGGCACTGAATTATCCCAGCAGAAAATCTTGTTAGATGTATTCAAACGATTCCTTGGTTAATCAGCTACAAATTGATTACATTTTGATGTCTGAAAAAATTTGTCATGCTAGATTTTTACATAATACAGCTAATTTAGAGGTGCCGATAATAGGACAACCGGTTAACACGTAAATGAAATAGAAAGGCTGCCGAAGAAAAAGAAGCTGCCAACAATCATCCCACTCACCTGGGAAGTTTGGAGCGTAGTAAAACGATTATAGACTAGTTTGGACAATTAAAGGGTGTCCACGATGAAATTGCCACACACAAAATTGATTCGCAAAATTCGAGTTTTCATCCGATTGCCATCAAATTTTCAGGGATTGAGAAATAACTATTAAACTTCATTTTACCATTTTACTCGTATTTTATTTACAGTCCATACGCAAATGCCCGCACCTTGGCCTTAACCCCGGCCATAAGATTCTGCACAACCTGTGAATCAACCGTTTTTTGCATGTAAACCCATACTTTCTTCAGTTCCTCGACTGTGTTCACTACCTTAGGTCGTTTAAGAAGGTGCTGCTTCATAATCGCCCAGTACTTCTCGATGGGGCGGAGGATTGAACATTTTCGGCACGAAATTGACCTTATTGTCCGCATACCACTCCAGCACGTCCTTGGAGTAGTAGGCATGAGGCCAAATCCGGCC